CTTCGTCTGATTTCTTTATGAAAGCCTTTCCTGTTAAAAAGCTGGATTCTATGGTTACCCCTGTCAGCCACAAGCACTTCTCCCAGCGGAGTTATATGCAGACTGACAGGAAGATTAAACATGCCTGGCATGTTGCCTTTCGACCCCATCTTCCTGAGGAACTGGCACTGCTGCAAGTTGCAGGCTGCTTCTGGTATCCGGTTGATGGGAGGTGAAGGACACTGTGCCACCACAGTGCTAACTTCTTCTGACAACATCTCTAGATCATTACACGGAACCAATGAAAAACCAGAAATTTCAGGCTGAATCTCCTGCACATTCACAGTGTATGGTTTCTTGACCACTTCTCCTACCTGCAGAGGGTCAACATAACCTACTTTAAAGAATTCTGCATCTTGCAAGGTGATCTCTTTGGGCAAATCAGCTGCAAGTTCAGGTTCCTCTTCATCCACAGATTCTTCCAAAAGAGCTGTGTCTGACTGTTTGATCTTGAGAAGAAGGTAATCGCATCTGGACACCAACTGAACCTCAGTGATGTTCAGCAGGTATGCCTGCTCATCCAGGAGCTGTGTGTTGATCTTCTCCACTTCAGACAGAGAAGCAGTGAAGAGTTTGCGAGACCTGGCTAGCTCTTCCTGGACACGGGACTCTTCCTTGTTGTAGTCCTGTAGCACTGCCTTGTACTTGCACTTTAGCATGGCTGAGATGCCTTCCAGGGAGGCCTTCCTCTTCTGTATGTCTAGCATTCGTTGTCTAAGCCGTGTGAGCCTCCCCTCCAGCAGCCTCCTGGACTCATTGGCAGCATCCCTCAATGAGAGCACAGGGTGTCCAGGCTGGCTGTGGCCCTCTTCCCTGCAGGCCTCACACAGCAGCACAGCACAGCTCTTGCAGAAGCCCCTGGGCAACCTGCGGCCACAGTCCTTGCACATGAGCCTGGTGACCGCTTGGCCCAGCTCTGCCGTGTTAATGATCTTCAGCACGGTCAGGTTGTCTGACAGCTGGCTCACACTGCCCACATGGGTCACTCTGCTGCAGAAAGGGCAGCGGACGCCATTGATGGTGCTGGCCAGGAGCTTCTCCAGGCACTGCCTACAGGTGGAGTGCCCGCAGTGCAGGAGCTTGGGCCGCAGCTGCTCCTCCGTGTAGGTCTCCATACAGATGGGGCACTCCAGCACCTCCCGCAGGGCGTCCACGTTGAAGGAAGGGGCTGCAGCTGCCATGATACCTGCCTGAGTGTGCTGGCCAGCAGCAACAACAACAACTTCCTGTCCGGGTGAGCCTGTGATGTCACGTAGAACACCAGCGGGTCATGTGACTCCAGTGGTCACGTGATGCAGAGGACTGCCGGAGGATGTAAACAAAGCTAGCTCAGGGAGATGGCATGGGTCCATGGGAGCTGCATGATGAGTGCATGAGACAGCTTACTGAGCCACAGAATCCCTCATCAGGACCAATGGCAACTGCTCAAATGAAGTTTATTGACGCTTCGGTTTATTTCTCGGGGGGTGGAAATAATGGAATGTAAAGTTTTACATGTTTTTGTTTATTTTTGTAGTTTTATTTAATGTTTGTTATAATAAAATGCAAGGATGGATCGCAAAATAATTTTCTGTTGGGGAATGGTCTCTGATCAAATGTCATGCACATAATGTGAAAAAATAATCATAGCCCCACTGCATTGACAAAGTGCCCCAACCCCCATTAAGTTTATTATTTTTGTCAGTTTGGGTTAGCTCATTATCTAGTGAAAAATAAAAATCTTCTGAATTGTCTTTATTTGTCTAGCCAGGTAATCATTAGAGAGAAAAAAATGGTATGTTGTACATCATTTATTAACCCCTTAAGGACACGTGACATGTCATGATTCCCTTTTATTCCAGAAGTTTGGTCCTTAAGGGGTTAAAGGAACCGTTTAATCCACAGATGCAATTTAGCTTGTCATAAGGCTAAATGGTTAACAGAATGTCCCGCAGTCTTATTTTAGAACACTCTTGGTAAAATCTCCCAGCTCTCAATTAGGCAGCTAGGTGGGTACCTTTCCCTATTTGCTTTGGAAAACACAGAATAAAGAAATTATGACATTGCAGTGCATGCATTATGCATCCAAATACTTATCTATGATAAGTTCTGGAATAGCTGGGAGTTCAGAGCTAGTGATGATCTGCCAGAAGAACAGCTGAACTGCAGTGATGAGACCTTCTCAGTGCTGGATTAGAGGCAAGCATTGCAAATTATTATAGTTTATGATTACAGTATTTTTACAGACTACAAATATATGTCAATTGTGACTACATTTTTATTATCTACAGTTAGGTCTGACAATATTTGGACACTGATAATGTTCCTAATTTTGGTTCTGTATATACCACAATAGATTTTTAAATGAAACAACCAAGATGCAACTAAAGTGCAGACTTTCAGCTTTAATTCAAGGGGTTGAACAAAAATATTTTATGAAATCTTTAGAAATGTCAACAATTTTCATACACAGTCCCCTTATTTCTAGGGCTCAGATATAATTTAACAAATTAACACAATCATAAATAAAATGTTAATTCCTAATACTTTGTCAAGAATCCTTTGCAAACAATGACGGCTTGAAGTCAGGGATGCATTGACATCAACAAAAACACCGAGTTTCCTCCTTTTTGATGCTTTGCCAGGCCTGCAGCTGTCTTAAATTTAAAACTTAAAAAAAAAAAAAAAAAGCATCTGACTTCAGTTGTTTTTTGTTTGTGGGTCTTTCTGCCTTAAGTTTTATTTGCATCAAGTGAAATGCATGCTCAATCGGCCATTGCAGAATATTCCACTTATTTGACTTAAAAAAAACAAAAAACTGGTTTGCTTTCGCAGAGTATTTTGGGTCATTGTCCATCTGTAAAGTGAAGCACTGTCCGATCAGTTTTGTTGAATTTGGCTGAATCTGAGCAGACAAATCCCTATACACTTCAGAATTCACCAGCTTCTTCTGTTCTGTCACATCATCAATAAACACTAATGACCCAGTGCCATTGGAAGCCATGGGTGCCCATGTCATCACAATACCTCCACTGTGTTTTTACAGATTATGTGGTAAGCTCCAGATCATGAGCTGTTCCAAGCCATCTCCATACTTTTTTCTTTCCATCATTTTGGTACAGGTTAACCTTAGTTTCATCTGTCCATATAATGCTGTTCTTGAACTAAGGTGGCTTTTAAAAAAAAATTTTTTTAGGCAAAGTCTAACCTGGCCTTTCTATTTTTGAGGCTTACGAAAGGTTTGCACCTTGCGAACACTCTGTATTTGCTCTTGTGAAGTCATTTCTTTATGGAGACTTGGATAATGACATACCTACCTGCTGGAGAGTGTTCTTCACTCTCCAGCAGGAGATGTAGTGAAGGTTTTTTCTTTGCCATGGAAAGGATCCCATGATCATCCACCATTGGTTTTCTACATCCAGGCCATTTTGTGTTGCAGACTTTACTAGTACATTCTTTTTTTTCCTCAGAATGTACCAAACTGTTGATGTGGCCACTCCTAATGTTCTGGATATCTCAGAAGCTTTAGAAATACAGGTGTATGCATTCCTTTAACCAGAGAATCACACATTGGCATGGGAATAGCTATCACAATCTTGCATGATGTGGAAGAGAAAATTTACATAAGGATAGATCCCCAGAAGGTTTAAATTAACAACTAAAGCATGGCAAATCATCATTAGAGATGTAGTTCTGAAAGACCTCTGGTGCTTATAAGAGGATACTGGAGCAGAAGCAGTGCTCCTTTAAAAACCAGAGCACTGTCACAGCATCCAGGAGTAATTTTGTATGGTCACCAATACATATACTTTATTTGAAATCCTACTGCCAACTGAAAAAGCAGCATGGACACATTACATAGCAATTGTGGGAAAGGAAGATCTCTAGATGTTACAGAACAACAATGTGTTCTACAAACAGCTGGTAATGATCAAGGGATTAGGGGCACTGCTTGCTGGGGTATAGTTACAGTCCACACATGTGTGTGGGGACCATCTTATGATTTATTTGCCTGCATTATCACTCTCAAGTCAGTCAATCAGAATGATAATGCAGCAGAGGGCTAGTATCAGACAGCTCTGCAATATCTGGGAACTATTTCTCCACTTGCAAACAGTCTGACCAGGCCAAGTGCTAAGAGTCACCCATTACCATTGCAAAATGCAGATCCATTTGAAAGTTACACGGTGTCGTTCATTAAAAAAAAATGGGGGAAATGATTTAATAGAGATACCCTAAGCAAAATCTTACACGCATTTAAGTTATTTTTTTAATAGGGGTTTATCTAAGAACAGCTTTTAAAAGCTGCATATCTCTCCTGCTGGCTTTACAAGCCCTGCCATTCTTCCACAGACTTCCTGTCACTGTCTAATCAAATACTTCCTAATGCAGCTCTTTGCAAGGCAGGTGCTTTAGGAAATTGTTTGCCTCTTGAGTTTAGCTCTACTGAGCTAAACAACCAGGAAGTAAGCAGGACCACTTGTATAATTGACAGCCGTGGTGGGGGGTGTAACAAGGTTAATAAATAAAAGTTCCCTTTTCTTTTTCTAAAAATCTTTACTTTTTGTAAAATTAAAAAAATAAGACTCACAATTCACACATAAAGCACTTCAGCAAGCTAAATTACTTAAGGTGTGTGGCGTTCCCCCTTAATAATAGAACAACCCAAAAATGCAACTTGTAGTACATGTTGTTGTTTTAGAAATTATACTAAACGAATACTGATTAAAACAAAACATATATTTGCAACTAATAACCACTTTATTAAACATTTTTCTTCTTGACAAAAATCACACAGAAACAAGAATACAATACATACTTCAAAACAAAATAAGTGCAAAAGATAATATTAAGTAAGGTTTATTGTTAATATTACATGTATTTATATGCTCTTTTAAAATATCAGAGCTTTTTGTCTCAATACATTATTGTTAGGAATGTGCATTAGAAAAGACGGTGGAAGATGTTCAGTTTTCATGAATTTACTGCCATAAATCTTCAGTACGGCCAAACTTGAATACAAGCCCCCTTTAATAAGCAGAAGAAAAAAAAAGCAAATAGTAAAATTAGAACAGTTTTGACAACTCTTTGGTAAGTGGTTCCCTACCGGGAGCACACTTCAATATTAGTCACATTTCAAAGACATCTGTTTTGTGTTACCTTTTATGTCATCAGCAGCTTTCAACTGACACTGCAGCACAATGTGTGTGGCCAAGAATAGAACACAGAACGGTCCACTAAACAGTGAACTAATCTGTGTATAAACTGATAGCAGCCATGTATGTCGGTTATTAATATAATGCAGTTCCAAACATTCTTTGTGATAATTCCAATTGTGGGTAGGGGAGAAACTAGATATATATATAAAAAAATCCCTTCTGAACATGGGATAAGAGCAGACCGCACATACCAGCCTGCAATTGTGGACAAACTCACTAATCAGCAAACCAGGCATGACTTTACAGGCAACTCACTTTTTCTTTGCAATATTTTTTAAAGCAATATCTTTATAATGCATTAAACTTTGGGGTCCATTGTCAAGTAAATAACCGCTTAGCAAGTCTAGGGCTGGGGGAATTTCTCTCAATTTCTCACTTGCACAAATGTGACTCACAGAGTGAGTATGTAGAAAAAAATTAAATCATTAATCGGTTTTAATGGCATTTATATATTGCCAATAATTGATGCATTCCTCAAAAAGGATTGTATATAGAAATGCTAAATATTTGTTTTAACAGAACATAATAAGAAAATCAACTTACCCAAAAAAAATGAAAGCATTCTGAAAAAATACAGCTATTCCTGGATACACCTCTGAGCTACCTGTTTATAGACAAGAAATAATGCTTTTGACTTTTGAAACACCAAAAACAAATGAAAAACATGATTTGCAAGCTCTGCACTGTTTGTTACAATTTTATCAGAATGTTAATGGATGTCAACCCACTGGACATTTTGTTTAAAGGAACACAACACTTTAGCCCACCCCTCTTAACTTCTAAGCCATTTTACCATTTTGGTTTTGGCTGCCTTTCCATTGGCATAACAACCTGGCTTTGACTAAGAAAACACACAGTCTTCGTGGAGTCCCAGCAAGGAGATCTCCAGGATTGTCAGTTTCAAATTTCAGAAATGTGCGCATTCTGTGACATTGCTGCATTCATACAATTTACAACTTATGAAAGCATACCTAGTATAACGAGGATGGTGTAATCTACTTACCTTTTGCTACATAACCTCCAAACAGAATCCACATGGATGCAATCAGGGAACCAAAGGCCAACATGAAACCAATGAACAGCCAAATACGAGCACCTGAAAAGTAACCATAACTGGTTTTAAATGACAATCATGGGAAATGTTGTTCTGTTTAATATATATATATATATATATATATATATATATATATATATACACATACACACACACATGTTTGTGTATAACTGCCAAAAATGGCGTACATTTGTCAAGTGCTAGGCTTATGCAATGAATTAGAATATACTGTAAACAAATCCCCACTAGTTTTGCTTAAGTGAGGCGTTTAATAGGTTTGTTTTTTAATTTATGAGCTTTGAGTTTGGTGTGTAGTGAGTGCACTGGATCTTGTATGTTGTAATAAATTGGTCGCTGCATGCCCCTTATAAATTATGCATGTTTAGGTGAGTATGTTTAATATGTTTTGTGAGTCTAAGCCAGCTCCTGTGGTTTTGCACTTCTCACAGGTGCCTCGTTACAGGGCCCTATTTAACTTTGCACTGCAGAGTCCCAGGAGGACGTATTCCCCAAGTAAGTGGATTAGTCTCATAAGAGCAGGCATTAGGTTGCTAGAGTAGGACCTGTCAAGAATGGGGTACAGTGGCGTTGTGGCAGGCTTATGCAGTGTATGATCATATGCTGCAATTACCCCCCCTCCCCCATTATTTTTACCTAAGTTAAGTGGTTAAAAAAAATTACAAGTTGGTGTTTAGCGAGTTGGGTATTGCATAATAATAATAATAATAAAAAATAAATTAAAAAAAGAGGACATTTATAACGATAATGCAGATAAAAGATCTACTTCTACCTTTTAGAGAAAGCAGGTGTCGAGAAAGGGACTCCTGTTAAAGGAGTATGTGGATTGGAGAGTATCCTGTTTATGCATGGTACAGTGTGTGTCCCACATGTGGCATGTACTGAGGGATGTGATCACGTCTTACACATAGGTCTAATTGCCAACCTGGTCCAGGGCAACATCTTCCTCCCCTCTAAGCAGTCACTACAACAGTGCTTGGTAGGGAATACATGTATATGGAGCATGCAGAGAGCTACATTTAAGTAATATCACCAGTTATGAAAAGTGAGTGTGTGACACAGATGCTCTACATCCTACAGCTTTAGTTTTGTAGAATAAGTGTAGTGCAGCACACAATGTGCAGCACACCAGTCTTATTCGGTCATCTAAATTCAGACTTCAGTAGACAGGTTGAGGGGGTCACAATCTCCACATAAAAATGTTATTACTTTGGTCATTTGTCAGCTCATGGTTTACAAATAAACTCTGTTTCAGAAAACATACATACTTTATGATATGATTAGCAAGTGCCATGGCTTGTTAACCAGATACAGTATTATGCAGTACTGCAGCATAGGAAAATTCTTTGAGGTTGAAGTTTAAAGGTTCATTTAAATCAAAAGACTCGTCCTGGGCCACCCCAGTTCTTGAAATAAACAGTTTTCTACATGAAATGCAGCAGGCTCCAATACAGCCTGCTGCATAAGTTATTGTGCCAGGATTGCCCTGGTTCCATCCCATAGTAAGATGACATACGGTTATAGCATGGTTTAACAACTTACTTGGGTTCTGCAAGCCACCTGCAAATCATCCAATCAAGCTGCATGTATCTTTAAAGCAAAGCAGAACCAAACACACTGGATTAAAGTGCTCAACTGATGCTCTCAGCTAATGACTGCACCCTTGAATTGGTCACATTTGCTTGGAATGAGTCTTTAATACTGCCACCCAACCAGACCAACAACATTTTACATGGAATGTAAGAACAGCTATAATAAAAATGTGCATTCTCCATTATGATCTGAAACCATTACCAGTTTGCCCCATGCATCCTTCACTGTAGCTGTCTCCACGAACTTGCCCATTAGACACAGCATTTATCCTAAAATAAATAAATAATAATAATTAAATTTCATACAACAAAGAGGACTGTCTAATAAATGAGAGCTCTTAAGAATGCTTGAATAAGTGCTAGGAAGCCTAACTCTTATCTGCCACAGAGAGACCACAAAGACCACACTACACACCAAGGAAAAGGCAGCTTTGTGTAACACGACAGAAAGATATGAAATGTGAAGGTAGAGAATTGTAAAAGCAATGGAACAAATAAAATAAAGAAAGTCTAAAGGGTAGATAAGTAGAGCAACGGAAATGTGAAGCAGGAGTGCAATAGAAATTGGTGGTTGTATATTTTGTTGGTCGGATTACAGTTAGGTATAATCCAATAAAATGCAAACAGTAGCTTACTTATACTAATAAAGCCAACTGCCAAATGTAATGAGGGCGCAGGCGGGTATTGAAACGCAGAAATGGGACTTAGATCAGAAATGGTCAGACCTTTTGACCCCTATTGGTCAGCACTTACAAGCTAAAAGGGAGCAAGTTGTATCTGTAAGTTCTGGTGCCATAAACAGCAAGTACTATTATATATATATATATTTTTTTTTTTCGAAGCACCTGCGTCTCAATTCCCTTAACTCAAATAAAGCACCCCCTCATGCTTCTAGCACAGAAGCTTCTCATAAGCAGCAGAATAAGTGGAAAGCTTGCAAAGACTGCAGAAGGCAGGTCTGCAGCTTTTCCAAACAGTTTTTTCATATACCTTAAAAAAAACATACATGCACTATTCTGCATGTTTTCTATCTACTAAATTATTAAGAATAAAATAAGGGTAATGTAAACCATAACAGCAATCTTGTAAATATGCATGTTATATATATTGACATGTTTGGGTTTTTTATTTTCCCAATAACAATTAAAATTAGCCCAGGCTCTTACACTATTGAATATATATATATATATATATATATATATATATATATATATATATATATATATATATCAATCAAACATGGTTATTTCTGATCAATATAGGTTTTGACATTTTTATAAGCCACGACTGCACCAGGGAGGTGGTGTCCACTCTGCAAATAAACAGACATTTGCACATGGAATTCTCATCATCCTTCAACAGCAGCTTGCCTGTGGTTCTACTGTTTGACTACAATTCCCAACAATTAGAGCCATTAATGTCACTTTTACTTACATTAAAAAAGCAACTGTGGCTATGACCCCACATGCATGGTATGAATGATTCAGTGAATCTGTACTGGGATATTTAACAGCTGCATCAATGATGATCCACCAACCTGTGAAGAACTAAGAAATACCATACTATGAGAAGACATTTATGAACAGAAATATATATAAACACTGGTGTGAAGTATCATATACAGAACTACTGTACACAATGCTATAATTTATTGAGGCTCTGTTTAAAACAAATATCTGCACAACCTATAAACTTAAATTTCATAATATGTTTTGTGAACTATATGCAAGTTAAATAACAGTGTAACCTTTGAGAAACATCCAGAGAAGGGGTTCTGATACTTGTAAGGTTGACCCTTTTTTCTCTCCTTCCCTTGGCCCTACCAATTCCCCTCTTACCCATCTATACTGGTACTCATGTTTGTTTCTCATTTTGTGAGATGTGGCTCCTTTTATAACTATTTAACTATTTGTAGAATTGGATAATTGTTGTTTGATGCACGTTTCATTGCAAGTTATTCTTTGTAAGCATGCATACATGATGAATAAACTTTTGTATTTAATATTTGCAATAAACAATTTAAAGGGCCTCTCTAGTGCCAGGAAAACAAACCCATTTTCCTGGCACTAGAGAATCCTGGAGTGCCCCTCACCCCATGTCGCTGAAGGGGTTAAAACCTCTACAACTACTTACCTGAATCCAGCATCGAAATCCCTCGGGGCTGGGTCAGGTTCCGCCCACGCTCCTCCATCGGAGAACTAAAGCGCATATTCAATGCTTTCCTATGGGGAAAATCTGATGCTGGAGGTCCATGAGGACGTCCAGCGTCAGATAACCGACCAAAGGTTGGTTTGGATTTCGGAAGCCTTCTAGTGGCTGTCTGTTAGACAGCCACGGAGGGCAGACTTTGTGCTGCAATGTAAACACTGCAGTTCTCTGGATATAATAAATAGTGTTATCCAACTATTGAAAGTGGGTCTGTCACTTTCAGGACTCTTTATATATTTCACAAAGATCCCAGAGGGTGACATCTCCAGTTAGGGTCTGCTGTTACTGACATGTCATCTGCCAGGAGCCATGTCAGTGCTGTACTTTCACACATCACGAGAGTACAACACTGAGGTATTGTAACAGCTGTTAGGATTGGAAACCTCAGGTTTGACCCTATTTTGTCTTATTGTCTTTGGATTGCATGGGAAATTGAATTTGAAATGAAATTCAAACCCAGTCATCATGAGTATTTCATAAAGATTATATCTTTTTATGAAATACTCAGAAGTGACAGAGCCATTTTAACGGGATGGACTGCATATTGTTCAGAAGCAGATGCTAGTGGAAGATACCAGATAGAATATCTTCAGTATGTCAGCTAAAAGTTTATTTCATAGACGCAAATTTATCTAAATCCATCAAGACAACGTTGAAGATTGTATTGCATTGTATTAAGAGAACACTAAAGTCACCAAAACAACTCTAGCTTAACAAAGCAGTTTTAGTGAACAGATCATGCTGCTGCTGTCTCTCTGCTCAATTCTCTTCCATTTGGGAGTGAAATCACTTTGTTTTGCAGCCCTAGGCATACCTTTAACCTATTCAAGCAGTACAAGAATATTCAAATGTGCTATGTGAATTCATAACACAATAATACTTGTACACTTAATAGTGGGCACCATGCTCTATGGAGATGGATTATAATTCAAACTACATTACTTTTAGGTCTCTCACATGAATGTTTGAACATTTAGACATTATACTGTACTCCAAACACTCACTAGAACGCCAGCCCCGATGGAAGCTACTGTATTCCTCTTCTCGCCCCAATCAATACACTCAGAGCATCGCAAGCTATCAAAGAACCCAGACATCTTGAAGAGAGCTGTAGACGAAATGTAACAAGTTTCAAATTAGTCTAAATATGGAATCCGTATAATAAGAGATATGTGAAATGGGTCATTCATTATTTAGACAAAAGGGTTTATTACTAAGCATCAAATTGTATAGAACTGGAAAATTTAAAGGATTGCAGAATATTTTTCATTCTCTAATACACTGCAACTCAATATTCACAGTTATTTACTTGAACTGTGTTAGGAGTCCAAAAGTGTATTCCAAACACTATAGCATCCCTATGCACTTAAAATGAACGCCAAGTAAAGGGTTAAAAAAAAAACAAACAAAAAAAACCCTTAAACAATTACCTGATTCTAGCACCCAGGTCCCTTGTTTCAGGAGTTAAACTCCATGAAACTCCCGGAAGTGCTTCAACAGTGTTTTACATAGCAGGGTTTAGGGGACAGGAACACTACATCCAGACCACTTTAATGAGATGAAGTGGTCTGGGTGCCTATAGTATCCCTTTAAAGGGCACCTATAGTACCTAAAACAACTTTAGCTTTTTAAAAAGAGCGTTTAACATCATATATACATTGCTAGCAGTTTTGCTAACACAATGTATAGCCTGAGAGAGAAACCTATTTGAAGGGATACTATAACTGCTAGGAATACAAAGCTGTATTCCTGGCACTATAGCTCACTCTGCGGTCAAAAAGGGTTTAAAACCCTTTATTTACTTACCTGATCCCAGCATCGATGACCCACGTTGCTGGGTCGCGGCTCATCCTCTTCTGACGTCCCGTGATGAGAGTGCGCATGTGTAGAAAATGCTACACGCGCATTAGACTTTCCCATAGGAATGCACTGAATCAATGTTTTCCTATAGGGAAAGATCTGACGCTGGATGTTCTCATGCAGAGCATGAGGACGACCAGCATCAGTTACCGGAACAGGAAGTCAGTTACTGGATGCAGGAAGTGCCCCCGGAATCCTCTGGGAGACAGGCACTGGAGGCAGGGCAGATTTAGTGCTGCATTGTAAACATTGCAGTTTCTCTTCACTAAGTGCAATAGGGAAACTGCACCCAGACCACTTCAGTATGCTGAAGTGGTCTGGGTGCCTATAGTGTCCCTTGAAAAATAGGCTTTTCTCCCACCTGCCAATTAACACACTGGCAGATACTGAATACAAAAGAATGAACTGATAAAGTAGAACAGAAGAGACCCCTCTAACCACAGTGCATGTGCCTCTAGCCAGTGCTACTAGTGTCGGCATTGGAGTGTAGGAATGGAGTGATATGATATTGTTCCATTCAGAAGCCGACATTCTGGCAACGAAGCCAGCACGTTGGTGTCAAGGAGGAGGTTTTTCCTGCTTCCGGAAGGATTTGCAAGCAGGTCAAATCAGCAAATAACACAAGAAAAGTGTGGGTGGAGTGGAGAGCAGCAGAGGGGGAGTATGGTTAGGCCTGCCTAATGTGATCGCAGTAGGAAAGCAAAGCCAAGGGTAAGTGGCATAACTGATTTAGGTGGTTTCCATTTGACCTACTTTGGTCTTAACTCCTTAAGGACCAAACTTCTGGAATAAAAGGGAATCATGACATGTCACACATGTCATGTGTCCTTAAGGGGTTAAAGGGATACTCCAGGCACCCAGACCACTTCTGCCCATTGGAGTGGTCTGGGTGCCAACTCCCACTACTCTTAACCCTTCAAGTGTAATTATTGCAGTTTTTTTATAAACTGCAATAATTACCTTGCAGGGTTAACTCCACGTCTAGTGGCTGACTACTAGACAGCCACTAGAGGGCACTTTTGTGTCCCTAGCACAGGAAACCTGTGCTAGAGCGTCGCTGGACGTCCTCACGCTGTGAGGACCTCCAGCATCGTTCATTTCCCCATAGGAAAGCATTGAAAAGCATTTTCAATGCTTTCCAATGGGGAGCTCTAATGCGCATGTGCAGCATTGCCGCGCATGCCATTAGGTTTCCCCGGCCGGTGGGCGGGAACAGTCTCGCCCACCGGCCAACGTATTACAGAGGAGGAGCGGCGGCTGAGGAGGAAGCAGCGACGTGGGACCTGCAGTGCCAGGAAAACTGATTGTTTTCCTGACACTGGAGTTTCCCTTTAAGAGTCTGTTCTGATCCTGTGTTTTTTTTTAAAATTAACTATTCAGACACTAAAAGCAGATAGCTTGCTGCTTTATATGTGTTAGTGTGTGCTTTTTTTTTTAATTTTCAAAAAGTGAACATTTCAATAGAAATTGGAACTTTAGTAATTAACCTGGTTACTTCCACAAACAAGTTTACTCTTGTTTGCAAGGAACACTATTATAACATATACATAAACCACTAGTCAGTGAAAGAGCTAGGATGTGGTCATGTAGACTTCACATGACATTGTGATTGTCAATATGATTATGAATGTTTTTTTCTTAAGTTTTTTTTTTTCTTTAAACTACATTCCAAGAAAAGTTTAAAACTCAGCTATGACAATGACACCTCTATAATGTGATCATGTGACTTTTTTGTTTTTAAAAGTTTTACTTTAGAAGTTGAGCTGTGTGCAGTGCTCAAAGTAAATGCTGCATATAGCCTTTTAAATTAATTGAGAAAAAGGCGGCTGAGCGCATGATTCTGGATTGGCAAGTTGTCAAAAAAAAAAAAAACACAGGATCAGAACAGACTCTAAAAAAGGTCTCCCCGTGCCAACTGTGTTGCTGGGCTTTGCCAGCAGGAATCACAGAGTAATCAGTATGCTTGATTTTTATCATTACGGAGATATTCCTGTAAGCTGAAATCAGCCAGTAGATGGTGGCAACACACCATTCTCTATTGTTTTCAAGAAACACGATAGTCACAAGAACCCTACAGCATAATGTAGTGGTTCTGGTGTCTATGGCCTGTCCCTACAGGCTTTCATTTCATTTCCACTATACCAAATCCCTATGCACATTTAAATAACAAGGTTTTTTTAGTATCACTCTAATGGCCATTAACGTGTAAGCTCGCCTACCATGTCAAGGCAAACCTCTTAGGTGAGTCCTACACTAACAAAACACCTTGCTGTTTTAAGCTAAAATCTCTAATGACACAGAAAGGGGTATTTTTCGAAATCCCTACCTACTTATTGTTCTCTTTACCCTTTTGTTCCTGAAAGTGTTTGCAATAATCTAATTATCCCCCCCCTTATAATATTGTAAAGTGCTACAGAATATGTTGACGCTATATAGATGCCAATAATAATACTGGGGTGGGCAGCAGCACTGTAACATGGCTGTGTAATAGAAAAGCAAATACAAAAATTAAAGGACCACTATAGTGCCAGGAAAACATACTCATTTTCCTGGCACTATAGTGCCCTGAGGGTGCCCCCACCCTCAGGGTCCCACTCCCGCCGGGCTGGATAGAGAGGAAAGGGTTTAATCTTACCTTTTTTCCACCGCCGGGCGGGGAGCTCTACTCATCCTCTTCGGCTGAATGCGCATGCGTGGCAGGAGCTGCGTGCGCATTCAGCCAGTCTCATAGGAAAGCATTCATAATGCTTTCCTATGGACGCTTGCGTCTTCTCACTGTGATTTTCACAGTGAGAAGCACGCAAACGCCTCTAGCGGCTGTCAATGAGACAGCCACTAGAGGCTGGATTAACCGTATTATAAACATAGCAGTTTCTCTGAAACTACTATGTTTATAAAAAAAAAAAAGGGTTAATCCTAGAGGGACCTGGCATCCAGACCACTTCATTAAGCTGAAGTGGTCTGGGTGCCTAGAGTGGTCCTTTAAGCCCTGCGCTCAAACTCCCACTACTCCTGGAAGGCAGG